GGCCACATCTACAAGCTCTCTCTCACACACACAGCTCACAACAACCCTTATTGGCGGCGGAACCACCGATTTCATACTCTGTCCGCATCATCCAGATCTGATGATGACTGAACCAATTGTAGAGTCAAGCCAAACGCCCCTCTTTCTTCAGCAATCACTCCAGACTTAAAGCTTCGCTCTACGCTCAAATATCAACTCTCTGCCGCCGTCAAGAATCAAAGACGCCGGCGTGGGGAGTACGTCTCTGTCAATCCTTGATCTGTCCGTTTCACGCCAGAAATTTGCGGCGGCGGCTGGGAGGAGTTACTTAAGGGGTTCTTGGATGATGGAGGTGTTGGTGAAAGGAGTAACCAACATGTGAACGAAGGAGATGGTGAACCACTCGTCGGCCGGTGGTTGAAGGTGTGGAGGTGGTGTCATGGCCGAAGTTTTGGGTCTGGGTTTGATAGGTTTACAATATACATATAGATATATGTATAGGTGTAATAAGTGTATAAGGGTAAAAGAGTCATTTAAAAGTTTTGATATTTTATAATTTAAATTAATAAAATAGTAAAGGGCAATCTTGACTTTTTACCAAATTTAAGGGGTTGTTTGGATCAAATTTCTGACCAGGAGGTGTGGTTGTTCAAAAATAGGCCAACTTGTATCTACCAGTCCTTATGCCAAACTTCGGGAGTGTTTGTGTACTTTACCTAATACTTTAATAGACTCATTTTCAAACAAACAATAAACTTTACCCGACTTAATCTTAGATTTGATTATAATAGATATCTATATTTATTAGTAATAATAATAATCATCATCTTTGATTTGCTTGTTTGATCTAGGTCTATGTTATGTCAACTGCAGAGTGACAAAAACTACAAACAGATGTGTAATTTAGCAAAATTGTCAAAATTTGGTTTTAGATTAGTATCATCATCTTTGATTATATTTTCAAAATTGACCTACAAACTCATAAAAGTAGTGTAGGGTCCACTGGTGGGATAAGAAGAGAGAAGATATTGTTTAAATGCTAGTTTCTTAATTTAAAAATTATTTTTAATAATTAAAAGATTGAAATTATTATTTCAATTTCGACTCATTTATTTAAAAAGACTTAATAATAATTTAGTTGTTATTATTTCTTTTCTCTTATATATCTATCATATTTAAACAAAAATATTATCATTTCTTTTATTTTCTCGTATATATATCCAAACAAAAATATAAATTACTCTATTTTTATTATTATTTTTTTTTCATAACTAATACTGTCTCTCCTTTTTTTTTTTTTTTTTTTGTCTCCTATGTATCCAAACGGGGTCTCCAAATATTTTTATAAAGTTAATAAAAAAAAGTGGCACATAATCGCATCGTCCAATTTAATTTTGAAAAAAAGAAAAAAAACAAAAAAGAAGGAAATTTCCTTTGCTCACGGCTCTTCAACATATTGTGGAAACTTTTAAATAATTAATTAGAATAGACATAAGCTAACTGTGACTTATATTTAAAGGAAATTTCCTTTGCTCACGACTCTTCAACATATGGTAGAAACTTTTAAATCATTAATTAGAATAGACATAACCTAACTGTGACTTATATTTAAAATGACAATCTTTGTTAACATGTAAATAGAAGTATTTGCTCTACATTATAAGCAATTTCATATGGTGTTTATAAAATTATTCAATATTGCTAACTGCAAGAAAATTAAGTAATTTTGTTATATTTTGGAAGTGTTTTTGTCAAAAACTTGATAAAATAAATAAATAAAAAACCTTGAACTGGCTAATCAAACCCTAGGAATAGTGAATATATGCGTCTTTAATTTACACAAATTTGCATGAGTTCTAACTTGCCTTCAAGTTTCTACATCAACCCTAATAGGGGTAAAATGGAGAAGATTCAAGTGAATCTAAGCCAAAATCTATATTCTAACATTAGGATCCATATATGGATCCGAATTCCAATCAAATCCAATGGACATCATCTATATTCCATTCATATAACACTAACAAGATTATAATTGAGTAAATATATTTGATTTGGGTTGATTATAGAGTAAAATCCAATTAAAATTCTACTTATCTATATCGAAACCTGACTAAGATTAATAATGAATTTTTAAACGATAAATTACAATGACATTTTCTGAGGTTTAAGCAAATTATTCATCGCTTATTACTTTGATCTCTCATGATCTCTCATAAACCTGTTCGTCGCCTCCGAAAACTCAAAACTGACTTTGAGTGTGAAAAACCAGTAATGCTTTCATTTATAATAATATTTTATATTGCGTTTTATACTAGGAAAGGGTTAAATTGTCATTTTATAAAATTTGTTCAACAGGTACGCGAAAAAAAAAAATTAGAAGTGTCATTGAGAGCACACACCAAATCTTAGGAAATGTCAAAGTGGTAAACGTTGGACGGTCTACCTATGTTTAGTTTGTCTATATGTACTGATTTGAGTGTGGCGTGATAGGTTTAAGAGGGGACCAAGGAGGTTTGATTTGAGTTAGAGGCGTGACGGGGGTTTAAACAGGAAGAGAGCATGGGTTTCTTTGTAAAATCAATTTGTAGTGAGAGAGATGTTAGGTTTTTACAGTTAGGGTTTTAGTTGTTAGGGTTTCAGGAAGGAGTTGCAAAAAATAATGGCGCGAATGAGGTTGGGTGGTCGATTTTGTAATGGAGAGATAGGACATAACTTTGTCGGGACAAACCTTATCCCTTGGTGTGTTGTCAATTTTTAATTCGTTCTTAAGATTTTACTTTTCTCATTATTAAGTGTATCAAGTTTAAAATTGTGTAATTTACAATGAATAATTTAGTCTTGAGCTGGTGGTGGGATAAAATGTCAAATATATATATATATATTGTAATTCCAGAAATTTCTTGCTCAATAATTTAGGAAGGTTTATTGCATTTTACCCTGGATCTTTTAAGGAAGATAGGAATGCAACCCCCATTGAAATATGGATTCGAAATTAAATTTGAAAAAAAAATAAGAAAAAGAAAAAAAAACTTTAATTAGTTCAAATAAAATGAGATAAATATTAGATAAATAAAATGAGAGAGTTGATATTTGTGGAAAATGAGATAAATATTAGATTGAGAAGTTGGGAGACATGTGCTGGGACATGGTCCCCACATTTGTTTTGGATGCATTTATGTACAATTTGGCTTTATGAAAGTGGAGATTCGCAATCGTTAGAAAACTCAACGTTTTCATTTTATACGTGCTAATTTAAGTGTATTACTTCAAGTCCTCAACCTCAAAATGTATTAATTCCTTTTTTCTTTTTTTAATGGAGAATTCCACTAAGAAAATAAATAAATAAAATTGATCAATTCAATTATATAAGCAATGATTTTTTAAGACAATTTTAAAAAGATAATTTAATGATATACTCACATTTTAAAGGTTAAGAAAGCAAATTCCTTTAAGATCACCTTCATAATTTTTTCAATAATTACAAGAATGTTTTAAGAAATATGATACCATGATTGTTCCAAATATATATATATATATATATATATATATATATATATATATATTCCATCTATCTCATAATAAGTTTCCACAAAAAATAAACATTCGTTGTATCATTTAAATTTATTATAAATAGATTTGATAACTTATTTAGTATCATATGATAAAAAAAATCATTAAAATTTTTTTAAAATTTTTTTTTTAAAAAATACAGAGGACCAAATTTAAAAAACCTCTAATTAAACCGTATAACATGTGCATTCAACCTTTCCATACACGAAAGTATTAAAAATTTGGTGAAGAGCACGTTGAAGTCAATGGGAACAATTTTAGAATATTTGAAAATTATTTCAAACAATTGATGAATTGTCTCTGTTCAAAATAAGTGTACGACATCGACACATCCCAGTACCCCCACCACGAAATATCATGCGGAGCTACCTCTAGCTCTGCTGCAAAAGTAACTCCGTCCACTAACATAAATAAAATAGAGTTTTTCTTTTTTTTTTTTTTTTTCCGAAGAAATAAAATAATTAATCAGCTAAAGTGCACGAGTTAACAAATTATTATATATTTTATTACATAAATAAAAAATACGTGTTAAATTTTAATTAATTTATGTTATCTGTAATTTAAAATATTATTTTATTTTTTCAAATTAAATATCTTGTCTTACTAATCGTGACTCATAATTTTTAAAATAAATCATTTAATTTAGGTTGAAAGTAGTAATTGATAGATGACATTATCAACGACACTGACATGACATTGATAACATTATTTATGCCACTAAAGTCTTTTACCTGAATAGGAAATGTCTAAATCTCAGCCCTTTCCGAAATACTCACTTTGTCCTTATATATATATATATATATATATATATATATTATTTGAGGGTTTCAAAATAAAATTTTCAATTGAAATTAAAGTATTATTATTTTATAATATTATTAATTTAATATTTAATACTTTTATCATAAATTTATTTAGTAATTCATTTACGGCCAGTTTAACAACATATACTAAAAATCACCATATTACAAAGTTAGATTTCCAAATATATATATATATATATATATATATATATTGGTTTGAGAAGGCATGATAGCAAACTATAAATTAAAAAATATAGCCCAAATGTTTGTAACGGTCCGAATTTTCATAACCTCATATGTTAACGAGTAATTCAAAAACTGAATCGATATCGAGTCCAACACGCGAAAGCAAAAAAAGAAAAAAGGTCTCTAGAAATATACATTACCTCTAGTTAAGACAACAAAGCGACCTTCTAATGATTTCCTATATATCGTAGCAAACATGTGGACTATATATTTTTAATATATCGTAGCAAATACTTGTTCGCATCTATGAAGCACGAATATCGTCACAAAATATGAATACGATATGACACGAACATAGCATTACGTTAATTTTTTTAAAAATAAGATACGAATATAGCAGGGATACGATAATAAAATAATTCATAATTCATATAATTTAAGCTCACTGTATATTCTATTTTTTTATTTTTTTTTAAAATATAAGAATTTATAATCTCAAATTTATTAAATTACAAACAAATAAAAGATACAAACTTTATAACCAAACAAAACTAAGTAAAAGATAGGATATATCTTCTCTCCCCTCATCATCTACGTGTCTCTATCTCTGTGGACCTTTTTATCATCCGATCTCTAATCCTCCTTTCCTCTCACCAAATCAACATAGCAGAGCACGAATCTCTACCCACTCTAAACAACGCCGTCTTTGGAGGCGGAGAACAAGTTGCGAGTGAAGGACGGGGTGAAGAAGGAGAGGGACGGATGAGTGGCGTGAGGTTGCCCATTTCAGAGGAGGTTGAGAAATATTAAATCTTTATGGTGTCGTCGGCGCCACCGGATACAGCGACAGAGCTGGAGGCTTTAACCGACTTATGGAGAAAAGGTGGGAGGGAAAGGAGAAGAGTAGGGTTGGGATTGGGATTGTTTGAGTTCCCGTGTCCTCAGGCGTATCGCTGCCGCGTCTTTCCGTATTCGTATTTATTAAAAAACAAAGGACACGTTTTTTAGGTGTTGAACACGCCGTCCAAGCTCTAGACACGCGTATCCGATACCTGTACGCAGATCCTAAACGCCGTGTCAGTGCTTCCCAGGTTCGCATCAATAAATACCAAGAGGACCAGGATATTAATTTCATGCATCTGTCACATAATCAAGGTACGCACACATCTCTCTGAGTCTATATCTCTATATAGACTGACTTGAGATATATATATATATATATATATTCATATTCATATGTACACCGACCATTACTTGTCTATAAGTAGAGGGAAGATCATGGTATTAATTTCTTTTATGCATATCTCACATAGTTGAAGTACGACATCTCTCACTCTAAATCTCTCTCTCTATATATAGACTGACTTGATATATATATATATATATACACACACACAGACATACAGGGTGTGTTGAAGATAGTAATAGAGGAAATATGGCGCTGAGCTTAGCACCCCAGATGGCAGATGAAAAGGTGTTAGAGGGAGAAGGTGGATCATACCATAGTTGGTCACCTTCCAACTTTCCATTGCTTGGTGAGGCTAAGGTTGGTGCAGGTGTTCTCATGTTGCATCCTCGTGGTTTTGCTCTACCTCACTATGCAGATTCCTCCAAGATTGGCTTTGTTCTTCAAGGTAATTATTTTCCTACTTAATTTTCAACAAATTAAATTAATTATATATATACGTATATATTTGTGGGTTAATTTCTAGATATCGTTAATATTATTTTATAAATGTTGAAAAGTAGATAGAACTCAAGATCTACCATCACAAGTGTGAGTCTCTTAGTCATTAGATCCAAAAAATAATATTGATTAATTTAATTTATTTTCTTGGTTTTTTCATATGTGTTGCTAGTCTATATATAATTACATACATACACAAATCATTTTGGATAAATGTTTAGGACATTTCATTTTGTGGATCTGATGGAACTACAGGGAGTCCACCTAATCTATTTAAAATTTAATGTAATATAAGATACATTTCATTTCGTTGGGCGGTGGACCAGTTTGAGATGGGTAACCTAGTGGTGGTAGTAGGAGGTTGAGTGGTGGCTGTATGCCGGGGCAGTTGTTGGGGGTGGTTTGGTGGAGTTAGTGGCGGCTGTGGTTGGGGGCGGTAAGAGGAGGAAGAGAGAGAACGAAGATAGGACAGAGGAGAGAGAAACCATGTTTGGGTCCCACTTGGCGGGAGAAGAATTGGTCTTTATTTATTTATTTATTAAATGCTAGATTGGAAAGAATATAATATTTATATATTTTGTGATAATTAAGTCTTCGTAGTGTGAGCTCAAACCCTCAACAATTCGTTGTTTGGGTAGGGTTTTATGTGGGCATTATTCTGAGCCTATTATTTAGTCAAGGTTAAGTTATTCCATATTAGATATCTCAGAATATCAACCATGAGGTTGTGAGATATTTACTTTTATTTATTTAATGAAGAAAATGATGAATATTTATCGGAAAAAAGTACAACATTATTGGTACTCCCATAATGTATCTTATATATGTTATTTATTTTATTATTATTATTATATTAACGAGAGAAATAATAATTTCTCACCATATATGCTGCTGTTGTATAATTTTTTTCTGCTTAATTCATTTTTATTTATCTACGAAAGATTATTTATATGTAGTACTTGACAATAAGTGTTAATTTACACATAAATCTACAATAAAATATTTAAATTAAGAGTTGGACTTTGGAGTCTGAGATGGGACAAAGAAAATCACTTTTTTTTTTTTTCCAAGAAAATCACATGCACTTATCCATGAAAGACTATTTATATAGACTTGACAATAAGTGTTAATTTACACTTATAAAATATACAATAAAACATTTAAATTAAGGGTTGGAGTCTGAGATGGGACAAAGAAAGAGTTGTGTTGTGTCACTTAGGGATGACAAGAGGGTGAAGTTAGCTAAATCCTACTCCGCTCCATTATAAAATATCATACTAATTCTGTATTTATTTCAGAATTGGTTTGTAATTATTATATTATTTCCGTTCCTATTTTGATAGATAAAATACCGACTTCACTCCATGTACTCCATTTAAATACGGGCCGTGAAGGGAGCAGACCGGGTTATGCCACTTTTCTTATGTTGTAAAAAATAATTAGCCCAATGTGTTCAAATTGGGTTAATAAATAAGATGGCCCAACTTTTAAATTATTAAGTAGTGAATATTAATATATTAACGGACTCTTCCAACAAAATAGCACGAGTTTTAAAAATATTAAATATATATTTTTTATGTATATAAAAAATAAAATGTACATATTTAATTGGCGAGGGATCGAGGCAGGTTTATCTTAAATCTGCCCCGCCTCAAACTCGTTTCGAATTTTCAATTATTTTATTATATCCGTCCTAAATTCATTTAGGGACCACTAAATTCACCGGGTGGAGCAAAAATATCCATCCTAGCTACACTTGCCTCCCAATACTAGCATAAAATAGAATAAAATCAAATAATAAACTTACATCACATGTGACAGTGAGTAGATGGTAGGCACAATTTGACACGGAAAATTACTAATTGGTACTACATTTTAACTTTAAAGACTAACAAATTGTAAACGGACCATAAGGTTGTTCATTTAATAAGAATTTCCTACAAAATTTACAATTTCATTGACAATTTTTTTTTTCTTCAATGTTATTTACTATTGCCCTTTCTTATTGTAATCCCTTTAATATTATTTTCTTAGTGAATCATAACTATATATACCCTTTGCCTCTAATTTTTAATTAGTACCAATTTACAATAACAATGAAAAAACAGAGTTTTTGTTTGCTACCAAAATTAGTGAACAACTTTTTGGTCCCTACCAAAATTAGATTTTACCAATTATAATAAAAATGAATTAAAAAAAAAAAACTATGTTACATAAAAAAAAGTGTATCAAGATTTTATAAATTTTTCTTTCAAATTACAATAAAATGACAATAACGATATTTCTATATGTATATAAAAAAAAAAAAAATGTAATTTGAGACTTATTTGTAAAATATTTACTAAAAATAGGACTTAATTGTCTTAACAAAATTTTACAAGACTTACTGCTCCTTATACTTTAAAAAAAGTAAAACTAATAAGTAATTTTTTTGTTTTAACATATTGGACTGAACCTAAACACGGAGTCACACAGTTACATGACTTTGTCTCCACAGGTACCTGCACTGTTGGAATGGCATCTCCCAACACATCAGAAGAAACTGTCGTGATAGTTAAAAAGGGAGATGCAATCCCATTGGAAATCGGAGTAGTTTCATGGTGGTTCAACGGCGGAGACACCGCCCTGGTTATCGTGTACCTGGGAGATACTTCCAAGGCTCACACTCCGGGGTCATTCACCTATTTCTTTCTCACCGGCATTCTAGGCATTCTGGGAGGTTTCTCACCCGAATTCGTTAGCAAGGCTTGTGATTTGAACAAAGAAGAAACGAAAAAGCTCATGAAAAGCCAAACAGGTGCTTTGATAGTGAAGCTTAAAAAAGGAATAGCCATGCCTAAACCATGCAAGAACGCTAGTGATGGAAAGCTCGTGTTCGGCTTTGAGAATTCATTGCCTGATGTTAAGGTCAAGAATGGTGGATTGGTGACAACTATGACCGCGGATGAACTTCCTTTGCTAGGAAAAGTTGGACTTAGTGCCAATGTGGTGAAGTTGGATGCTAATGCCATGTCCTCGCCAATGTACACTACGGATTCATCTATACAATTAACTTATATTGTGAAGGGAAGTGGTAGAGTTCAAATTGCGGGTATTAACGGACAAGGCGCATTGGATGCAAAAGTAGAGGCTGGTCGCTTGTTCGTCCTGCCCAAATTTTTCCTGGTCACGCATGTTGTAGATGGAGAGGGAATGGAGTTTTTCTCCGTTATAACTGTTGGGAAACGTGCTAATTTTAAAAACTTTTCGAGAGATTTTGATTCATAAATCTTGATTCATCACATAGAGACAAATTTTATGCAAAAATAAAACATGATGTATCATTTAATTAACAGATTGAATACTTATATCAAAGGTCTGAGTAAACCTTTAAAACTTTCTTCTAAAGTGAATGTTCTCACTTATTGTAGATCCGTTAGCAAGATGCATTCTCTTTGGATCTCCATCTTCTTGGTAATTATTTTGCCTTTAGGAATCACTCATAAGCCTCCATAAATGACCTTGGAAAACTAGACTTATGGGAGCCTCTATTAGATGAGAATATAAATCCTAATTTTCTAGAGAGAGAAAATATATTCCTTTTTTTCTTCTCATAAAAATCACCCCCAAAAATATACATAGACCATGTATATTTATAGGCAACATAAAGATAAAGAAAAGGAAACTACAAATCATTCTTAATCTCTAATTCACATGTCTCAAATCTAATATGATTCCAATATCAAGTTGGGCTATGAGTGAAAATTCATTGGGCCTATTATTTTATTGGCTACAATGAATTAATAATTGGCCCGGTCCATGGACTCAATTCAATTAATCCATAAATTAATTTCTACTCCACTAAAAGAAATTAATTGAACTCCAATTAAATAATAAATAACCTCTAAGTCAATATTGCACTTTGACCCTTCTATGCATAATTAGTTATCGGATAAATAAAGGCATCAATCCGACTACTTAATTAATATATTTATTTTGGTACCTTTAATTATTTCTGGCTCGATCACAATAAAACATTTATTTGACAAAAATAATAATTTAAATAAATAAATATATAATAAATCATTTTGTCTAAAAACATACGAAGGCTTTCGAATTTACTTTGTGATCAACCATAATCAATACAAAATAAATACAAGTAGCAATGATGCAAATATCGAAAATATAACCCTCTAACTATTAATTACATAACTACCCAAAGTGTCGGTCTAAGGATCCCGAAGTATCCGCCGAACAAATCAAAGTATTTATTAATTAATAAAAGAGTCTATAATTTTTTCATGCTTAAGAGTCAAATGCTATGACGGTGATAGGGAGCAATTGCATACGACGGCTCTCGCAATATATCTCAACCTAACGCGGATCCAGTTCAAGTCTTAATTAATTATGAGTTCATCCATTATTACCGACTATGAACAATTTATGATTACTATTTATATACATGTATTGATCGCCATCACATACATATATAAATATCTCTTGTAATCAAATGGACACTATCAATTCCATAATGAATTGAAACATAATACATTGAATTCACCAATTGTATAAAACATAAATATTTCAGAAACGTCAGGAACATATGTCACTTTAATCTAAACAGGAATTTGCTATGCCATGGCATATAAATCCCAACAGCTCCCACTTGCCCTCATAGCCAATTCAAATTGCACCTAACTCCAATGTTATCCAGATGATGATCAAAATTATTGATCAATGACACATTTGATAATGGATCAACAAAGTTGTGTTCCAATGCAATGTTCTAGCTATAAGTACATTTTCTTGCCGGACAGTATCATGTAGAACATGATACTTCCTCTCAGTGTATCTTGTTCTTTTATAGAACCTTGGGTTATTGGTTTGTACTACTTCTGCACTATTGTCACAACATAGCTCAATAGGCAGGTTGGTATACTCCACAACCTCTAAATCAGTGAGATCAAACCAATAGGCTTCCTTTGCCGCCTTTAAGGCTGTAATATATTCCACCTGCAGATTTGAGTCAGCAGTTGAAATCTGCTTAACAATCTACCAACTGATTTCCCTTCCATTAAGTGAACATACACTAAGTCATGAACCTCATAGTATCTACTTCTGATTAAAAATCAGAACTAGCATACCTAACGAGGACCATATCATCACATCCATAAATGAGTATGATATCATTGGTTCTCCTTAGATACTTAATGATATTTTTCACAACAAACCAGTTATCAAGTTCAGGATTAGACTGATATCATCTGACTATCCCTACAATGTAGCGGATATCCTGTTCGGTATAGACCATGGCATATATGAGACTCCCATATGCCAAAGCATATAGTTCCAGTCTCATTTGCTCAATCTTCTCTGCTAGTCTTGGAAAACTACTTACTAGAGAGAGCAATTCATATCAATAAAGTAAGAACTCATTCTTTGAGTTATGCATACCAAACCTGGTCAAAACTTTATCAATGTAGGATTATTAAGATAAGCTTATTTTCCTTTTAACCTGATCTTGCAAAAGCTTGATCCTAGGAATATAACTTACATCTTGAAAATCCTTCATTTAAAAGTAATTGAACAACTACTTTTTTTATTGATGACAAAACTTCCACGTCATTATAAATGATTAGGATGTCATCAATATATAGAATTAAGAAAAAATAATGACATTCCTTTATACACTCATTATTTATTCACTAAGAAATCTTCTGGTATCTTTTTGTAGATTAACTTGCCTTCCATAGGAATCACCCTACTAGAAAGTTCTACAAGATCCCAGAATTTATTAGAATACATAGATTCCAACTCTGATTTCATAGTAACTCGCCAAAACGATCTGTATCCATATAGGTTCACGCTTCCGTGTAGCTTACTGGGTCCAACTCATGTTTAACAGGGATGTCCATAATGGTCTCACCTAGAAACATGATTTTGTCGGATTGGATGATAATCCTCCCACTACATCAATGTACCGATGCAAGAATCGGTGTACTAGATAATGCTGACGCATCAATAGGGAATTCATCTACAATTCTTAATCTCTATAATAAGTGTGTTCATATGTGGTACATCTGGTACTCATACCATATTCTCTAACATTATTCTACTAGGTATATGATTCATAATATGATCCTCCTAAAGATAAACAGTGAGTGTAAATAATCAACTTTTATCATTTAGATCATAAAATAATCCATCCTAGAGCTTTTTAGAGTAGCTATCAAATCTATCATGCGTATGATCTGTTTCCACTTACTTGTCTATATCAAGCGCACATGTGCAAGACTACCCCATATGAGCATGCAATTCAAACTAAGATATAGTAAAAAACACAGCTCAACGGTATCCTTGAGACAGACTAAGATGGAATACAATTCATAATGTGCATTGATATCGTCAAAGCTAAACTCTAAAATGAAAGAGATAATGTAGTATAACAGATCATAGATCTAACCATATTAAGCGGAATTCTGTTATTCCTTTTTGACACCTAAATCCATTTAGCGTCAATTGCGGAAAACTGGTACACAACACCCTCATTGACCATAGAGTCTTTGCACTATCCCAAGAAATACTTATATCCTCGATCAGATCGAAGTGTCTTGATAAGTTTACCTAATATGTGCTCCACATCAGTCTTGACCTACTCAGATTATACCAAGAGTTTAAGACTTCTGTTGCATCAGATAAATTTATCCAAAACGTGAGTAACTTGCTCGGATGTTCATAAGACCATACGTGTCAGTGTGTACCGACTCCAATTGTCCTTTATGTCTATTTCATCTGGCTGATTAAGCCCTTAGAGTTATCTATCCTTCAAAACAGGGTTCACAAGTTTGGTTTAGGCTCCTCTGCCTCACTAGGTAATTAACCTTCTTTGACCAATCTTTGAATCTCATTTTGACTGATTATAACCCAAAAATAGACACTAAAAATACAATGAGTCAGGAATAACAATTTTTCTCTTAACATTCAATCTAGAATATGCAACATTAGTTTCTACATCCTGCAAATCTTAAGAGTTTGTGATTATAGTATATTAACCATCTTTCAATGCACCAGAAGCAATCGCATATCTATTCAATTTTATAAAACCAGTTTTACAAAATAACAACACAGTTTTTATAAACCAAAAGTGAAATAAGAATGAGATTGCGTCTAACATCTGTGCATAAAGATAGTTCTCTAATACTAGTATCCTCATATTCTCTAATTTCAGATGTAATACTCCCACTGACTTAGCTACAACCTTGACATTAGGTCAAGTACAAATATATTCCATATCATCGAGGCTTCTGGATTCCTGAAATCCTTGCAATAAATTGCAAACATGTTTAGTGGCTTCAGAATCTATTCATCAGGAATTAATAGATACAACCACATAACATGGCTCAATGATTAAATATATATTTTCCTATGCCACGTCATTGCTTAGACAGTTTGTCCTTTAGTGTCTTAGTTAGCGACAAAAAAAACAGTTTTATTTGCCCTCAACATACACTGCCTTATTCCCTTCAACCTTTTGGATACCCATGTTTTGTGCTAGCCTAGTCCTATTATCATCCTTCTTCTTTACTTTGCCCTTCCACTTGGGCCTAGAAGAAGATGGTATAGACTAGGTTAGATTGATAGGAATGCTTATACTATTTGATTATCCTTTCATTTGTTACCAATTCTATAAGAATATCAGCGAGTGTGAACTCAAACTGATTCCTTATTTAGTTCACTCTAAAAGAGTCGAACGAGTTTGGTAACAAGGCAATAATCATGTCAACTTGAAACTTACCATCCAAGTCAGCCCTATTGATCTCCAGCTAATTTTTTAAATAATAAACTATCATTTTACAAAATTCGATCTCATACTGGAGTTCCTTAGGCTATCTTGATGGTATTCAAGTCTGACATAGTACTTTCACGTACTCTCTATATAATTTCACCAAAACATCTTATTGACATTTAACATGATGCTTGAAGAAAATAAAATAATGCAAATATTAGCTTTTGAGCGTATTCGAGGTAAACTGTAGAATATTGTACCAATTCATCTCATTTGCCTTATTTCACTTATTCAAAGCATTAATATTCTCTTGGGTATCTTAAAGTAAAAGAATTAGGTTTAGGAGTATTAAATACATTTTGTACCCTTACGTTGTGAATAAAATATCTAAGTTCCTTTTCAAGTCATTATAAATGAGGTCCAATATCATAGAATATATTAGAAAGTAGATAAACTGGATTAGACATAAATAATCTGAATATAAATGCAATCATACAATATGCAAGGTGAATTATTAATACTGCCATGCATATTTAAAATTAAAATGAGTTTGTTAACCACATAATATAATAATTCTCAATCGAACAAAAGATCATTATCATTATTGGTGAACAATCTCTTTTAATTAATGCGGGTCCCTCAACTCTGTAGCATAATAAATCAACCAATCAATATGTCAATAACTTATCCTGTTGGAGGAGTTCATTATTACTATTGTTGAGATTCATTTACTATTAGGCGAGCACTTCCATTAAAATAGTATGTGGGTCCCTTAACCATTGCATGAAAAATCGGATAACCAATACGCCAATAACTTATTCGGTTGGCGAAGTTCATTATTGCTATTGGCAGACAAATCCCATCATCTCCATATCTCTTAAGACAATGCCTTGTCTATTTATATGAAATGATTCCCGATTATGTTTAACCTTTCTAAAATCACCTAGTGTAGACCACTCCGTTAGGGAGCTAACACTATTGATTTTAGATTGAGTGTATACGTTATTAATACTCTAATGAAAAATAAAACATTAAATATGTTGTCATTATAATCTAAACTCTTTAAATCATGCGTAGGGCCTTATTTTTAAAGATCTAATTACAATGAACATTTAATATTTTTATTTTCATGAGACAACCACTCTTGTAATATTAAGACTCTTCAAATCATGCGTGGGGCCTTATTTTTGAAGATCTAATTACAATGGTTTTAATAACGAAGGCTATGGGGTAATGTATAAAAATCCCCGCTCCCACTCAATTTTTAATCATTAATAATTAGGGTTTTGAATTTATTCATTTACATGATATAATGCATGCAAAACGTCTTGATTTTAATTCAATTAAATTTAGAAAATATTTGGACATTTAAATGATTCACTAATGTTTAATTTGAAGCACACTTTAAAAAATAATTTACAAAAATAATTTTTCATTTCCCAGTAAGTGTCTTCAAATTAATTAGTAATCAAATCCAATTAATTTTCATAATTTAATTAATATAAATCAAGTAATTTAATTAAATATCATGGATCCAATGCATGAATAATAATTAATCAACAATTATCTATTCTATGCATCACATAAATAAATAAATGACAGATAAAGCAAATAAAAACGGCCAATGGAATCAACTTTTAACATTTATGTGCTCTAATTATTGCGCGAGGGTCCTTCATCAGCTTGCAAACACCTGTAGGAAGTTGGTAAGCGACTGCGGAGGCAAAATAGTACTTTGAACTCGCCCAGAGGACCCCACACGCGCTGGCACGCGCCTGGGGGGTGCAACAGCGCGTGGCCGGCGCCCCACGCGCTCACACGTGCCTGGAAGGCGCTGCAGCGCGTGGCACGCGCATGGACGCGCTTCCACGCCCCTGCACGCGCGCGTGGAAGATACTGGTTGTGCCTGGCGCGTGCTTCTCACGCGCCAGGAAGTTGACCAGTTCACCTTAACTGGCGTGTGCTCCTCACACGCCAGTAACTCCTCCAGCTTCTATTTGGCGCGTGTAACTCACGCGCCTTATGATTGGCTGCACCTGAAATGCCTCTTGGTTGCATCACATAGGATTAGTCTCCCCTATTCTGGCGCTGCCCTCGCCGCCGGCAGTGTTCCAGTCGCCGGAAAATCGTCGAAAATTTTCAGAAAATAATTTAAAAATTCCAGAAAATATAAATTAAGCCTAAAAAAATTCCAGAAAATTACTGAAGCGTAATTTAACCCTTTTGGACCTTCTTGAAGCTTCATAGCATCCTTTGATGAATATTACATGTCTTTAAAAATATTTACAACTTAAAATACAATGAAAAAAATAAATTACATCATTGAACTTTCAAACGGCTAAATCAAAGCCTTAATTACATTCATCCAAATATAAAATTACATTTAATTATCCTATAAGCTTCATCCATGGCTCAAACACATATCATCATCTATTCACAATTATACATACATCATTATATATCAATATATATCAATATATTAATTCATACATCAACATACATTAATAAATAAATATATATGCATATCAAAATTGGATCCATGAATGATGAATTTTGATAAAAATATGATCTCTAGTAATGAATCAAATCATGCTCTGATACCACTGTTGGGAAATGTGCTAATTTTAAAAACTTTTCGAGGGATTTTGATTTATAGATCTTGATTCATCACATAGAGACAAGTTTTATGCAAAAATAAAATATGATGTATTATTCAATTAACAGATTAAATACTTACATCAAAGGTCTGAGTAAACCTTTAAAACTTTCCTCTAAAGTGAATGTTCTCACTTATTGTAGATCCTTTAGCCTCTTCTTGGTAATTGTTTTGCCTTTAGGAATCACTCATAAGCCTCCATAAATGACCTTGGAAAACTAGGCTTGTGGGAGCCTCCATTAGATGAGAACATAAACCCTAATTTTCTAGAGAGAGAAAATATATTTCTTTTTTTCTTCTCATAAAAATTACCCCCAAAAATATACCTAGACCATGTATATTTATAGGCAACATAAAGATAAAGAAAAGGAAACTACAAATCCTTCTCAATCTCTAATTCACATGTCTCAAATCTAATATGATTCCAATATCAAGTTGGGCTATGAGTGAGAATCCATTGGGCCTATTATTTTATTGGCTACAATGAATTAATAATTGGTCCGGTCCATGGACTCAATTTAATTAATTCATAAATTAATTTCTACTCCACTAAAAGAAATTAATTGAACTCTAATTAAATAATAAATAACCTCTAAGTCAATATTGCACTTTGATCCCTTTATGCATAATTAGTTATCGGATAAATAAAGGCATCAATCCGACTACTTAATTAATATATTTATTTTGGTACCTTTGATTATTTCTGACTCGATCACAATAAAACATTTATTTGACAAAAATAATAATTTAAATAAATAAATATATAATAAATCATTTTGTCTAAAAACATACGAAGGCCTTCGAACTTACTTTGTGATCAACCATAATCAATACAAAATAAATACAAGTAGCAATCAAGCAAATATCGAAAATATAACCCTCTAACTATTAATTACATAACTACCCAAAGTGTCGGTCTAAGGATCCCGAAGTATTCGCCGAACAAATCAAAGTATTTATTAATTAATAAAAGAGTCTATAATTTTTTCATACTTAAGAGTCAAATGCCATGACGGTGATAGGGAGCAATTGTATACGACGACTCTCGCAATATATCTCAACCTAACGCGGATCCAGTTCAAGTCTTAATTAATTATAAGTCCATTCATTATTACCGACTATGAACAATTTATGATTACTATTTATATACATGTATTGATCGCCATCACATACATATATAAATATCTCTTGTAATCAAATGGACACTATCAATTCCATAATGAATTGAAATATAATACATTGAATTCACCAATTGTACAAAATATAAATATTTCAGAAACGTTAGAAATATATGTCACTTTAATCCAAACAGGAATTTGCCATGCCAGGGCATATAAATCCCAACAATAACATTTCCAGAGTAAGCACCATTTTCATTGCCATACACACACTTGAGCTCACAAATACAATTTACTCGAGTAACTATCTTTTTCTAAACAATTGGGTTTTCAAAGATGAGTTCATTACCACTATTAATTTCAATTTTTTTTTACTATATATATATATATATATATATATATATATATATATATCTTTGCAGGCCTGTATTTGAGAAGTTAGCTGGGAATACGTCAGTTTGGAAAGCTATAACTCCAGTAGTTCTTGAAGCTGGTCTAGATGAGACTCCAGAATTTGTGAAACTTTTCAAGTCCAAGATTAAAAAGAGCGCAGTTCTTATCCCTCCAGGGAATTAATAATTGACAAGTTAATTACATTATTACCACTTCAGTCGTTGTCGTTGAAGTTTTCAATGTTGTGGCAGTTTTTAAATATTATTTGCAAAAACAATGAAAAAAAGTAATTGCTCAACATATATCATGTTGTTGTTTTTGTTGTTTCTACTGTGTTGTTTTTGTTGTTGTTGCCATTGATATTTTGTGTGTGAGTCTGTGCGCATGTGTTGAGGTTGATTTTAAATACTGTTGGGGTTGGATAAGTTTGTGGGAGAAAATTTTGGTTGCGCTTGATCGTTTATTATCACTCGTGTAATATGCGTGTGTATTAGTATGTGTTTACACGGACGATTTCGAAGCGTCTGTGATTATCGCTCGTGTAATATGCGTGTGTATTCATGCGTGTATTATACGAATGGCCTCGATGCACGGTGTAACGGGCGCAATTAAATTTTTCTCGGTTTGTGCAGCTTGTACATGTTTATATATTCTAATTTTATTGGTGCATCAAAATTTCAAGCTTATCAAGTAAAAGGCAAGAAAGACTTCCCAGTACTAGTTATACTACATTACCCATGCCATTAATCAATTATATTAAAAGTGTTTTACATTAATAAGTCAAATTACTAGCTGTCGTTATTTAATCAGATGATTATTTCTTGCACTAAGGCAATGATGGACCTATAAAGGCCTCAGACTGGGGGCTGCTGCACCACTGATTAATTTTTATTTATTTTTTATTTTTTATGAACAAAATTACTTATAATTTTTGTTAAAATCTTATAAATGCCTCAATTTAATTGTTTTTTAATAATATTCCACTATATATTATTATTGTTCAAATTTGCCTCCATCATACCATTGTTTAACTGTATCACTGGTATTAGGTCCGTGTCCCTCGAGTTGGGTTGTGTATCTCCTCTAACTACCACTGAAAGAGATTTGGGTGAATATTGTGTATTTATTTTACCGGAATATTATTCCTTCTATCTCAAATTAAATGCCCACCATTTTATTTTTGGTTGTCCCAAAATTAATGTTTCGATTGAAAATTCAAAGTACTATTAAATTAAAATGTTTTTCTTCTGGTTTTTAGAGGGTTGTATTCTCTCACTTGATGTTATTTATTAATTATTTTTTGAAAGTATACATATAAATATAGATATAGGAAAATGTACAAGATGGGTTGGGCTGCAACATAGGCCGCCCAAAAGAAGTAAGAACTGGGTTAATTACAAGCTGGTACGGACTATGCTCATTCGACCGACAAGATTTAAACACTGAACCAATTATGAAATAAGGCCCAAACGTAATCAAAAGTAGTGACCCTTGGGGTTTCCAAGCTCATCATTTTAAGTAGTCCCAACTATGGGATCGTTGATAGAGCATTTATTCGGGTAAGAATATCAACCATTTGGATTTAATATTTGTTGTTCATTTTGTGATGTATTAATTAAGGATTTCTATGCTTATATGAACAAAAGTTGATATTTGATATTAAATGATTTTTGCTTTTTAAATGAATCGTGCTATTGGGCCGGTATTTCATTCAAGGCATTCAATAATTCATGTTCAAATGCACTTAAAATCCTATATATATATATGTATATATATATATATACACATATCATTTAATGCAATGTTAGGGTAGGAATGCGAAGATCAATTGCGTGTAGTGAGTGAGCTTGTGTGTGTCAGAAGAGAAAAGATTGGATTCTACATGGAGGCATTGTTTGTGAGGGATAAATGAGGAAAAATAACATTGCAGTATTTGTGAAATATATGTATATCTGTGTGATATGTTGTGTTAAACGTACCCAAAAAAGGAAAAAGAAAAAAGTTGTAGAAAGTTTGAATATAAGAGAATTACTTCTCTCTTGTATACACGGAGTATTTTTTCTATATTCCTAGGATGTTTTCAACGTGACTTCAACGAACTTAGAAGATTAGAAGTAGTGTATATACAAAATCTTATTTTTGATATTTTTTATATTCCTAGGATGTTTTCAACGTGACTTCAACGAACTTAGGAGATTAGAAGTAGTGTATATACAAAATCTTATTTTTGATATTTTTTGCAAAAAATATCAAAAATATATTAAGTATAAAATATATATAGACATATGCATATATATATATATATTTTACATGGCAAACAACAATAAACAGAGCACCCAAATTACAAAAAAAAACAGATAGGCAATCCTATCGAGCTTTCATTAGCAACGTCTTAGGGATACGAGTCAAAATTTGATCCTCTTGCAAAATAGGTGTAGAAAGCTTTGCCGTTTCATGAGCAAGGCTATTTGCTTCCCTGCTAACACGAGATATCTTTGCCTCTGGGAAACAACTCAAAGCAGTTTGGATATCAAAGACAATTGAAGAAATTTCAACCGGACAAACTCGAGCTCCCATCACTGCCTCACAAACTATAGACGAATCAGTTTCAAAACAAATTCTCTGAAAAAGAAATCTCTTGGCCAATAAAACGGCTGCCCTCAAAACAAATGCCTCAGAAGGGAATTGTTTCAAGACCACCATGTGCACAATGCTCCCATGATGGTCTCTAAACACAACCCCCCTTCCTGTAAGACAATCAGAACCCCAAAATGTTGCATCCACATTACATTTTAACACACTAACAAGAGGAAGACTCCATGATCTCTCTCTTAACGCAACCCCTTTTGGCATATAAAAAGCATGACACTCAAGTTATTTTCAACAGCATCTATAAATTCCCAACACCATCAAAGACAAAACGATTACGCACTTTCCAAATGGCCCACGCATGCCAAGCACTGCACTTTTCAACACTTCTCAAGAGGAGAAAGAATAAGTACTTTCCTACCATTTTCGCAGTGAACACCATAAGACCAAATTGTAACAAAGGGTCATTTGTCTCATATCGTATCCCATAAATGGATGGGTATGCAGCACTACCTAACAGTTTGAATTTTTGGATAAATGGGTAAGTGCCCACGTTTTACAGTTAGTATCAGAGTCAGACCTACTCCTTAATCTGCTGTCACTCCAAGCGTCTGGCTCAGAAGGTGTCAGGGTGAGCTAGCCCAGGTAGGCAGGGTGGCCCGAACAGCAATGAGGGCGTTGCCAGTTTGGGTGGGGGAAAATCTAACAAAGGGTCACTTGTCCCACATTGGATCCTGATAGGAAAGTGCTTGAATATAAATGGGTGGGAATATAGCACTACCCAACATCTTGAACTTTTAGGTAAATGGGCAAACGCCCACCCATTACACCAATCCGACAGTATAATTGTTATTACTATTTAAGAACAATAATAAATACTATTATTATAAATTATAAATATTATTAAATTATTATTATTTTATTATTAATTCTACATTGATGATATAAATCACTTACAAGTTGTAAGCCTATAAAAGGGGTCTTATTTTATTATAGGTGTAACACAATATTTTCAAACCTACCAGTTCATTAATGAAACACTCAAATCTGCCAGTTTTTTTTAGGGGAAACTATCAATACATGGACTTAGTGGGTGTATACTACATGCTCATGAGGTCAAAGTCATGAAGTTTCAATAATTGGATGGACCACCAAAATATTTCTCGAAAATGAACTCTACTTTATACTTTATACCACACAACAAACTATATTATTATTAGACACCCAAAATAATACTTTTATTTTATATTAACCTTAGATTCTTGAACAAACTATTTAATATGAAATATTAAAATTTTACAGTAGATTAATATGGACTTAGAAACTTCTTTAGAAAAAAGATTATATATATAAATTAAATTAAACAAAACAGTATAGGCTCTGATACCAAAATTAAGTTCAATTTAACCAAATAGAAGCATGCAAATAATATAAAGATAAAAGTAATAATTAAATCACAAAAATGACTGCCGAACCTGATATCGCTCTGATAACGCCCTATAAAAACGCCTGAACACCGGTAAGAATGGGCCAACAAGCCAATAGTTTGAGTCAACTCACAGAAGAAATTGTTAAATTAAAACTAAGGTTACTTGTACTGGTTGGATTTAAGAAAATTCTAGGATCTACACTGTCTGGCTAAATAAAATCTATAGATTTGATCTTTTGTTGACTTAAGTCTTTTGCCCGAAGGTACTTAAAATACTAAATAGAGATAAGGAAGTTTTAAATAAGAGCAAACTGGATGATTTATTTCAAAAGAAATATATACATGGATACACACTGTTTATACATGGATACACTCTCACACAATATTTTACAGAAAGAGAACACTCTGAAATAAAGAAAACACACTGGGAAATTATATCTAAAGGCTGGAATGCTTGAAGGCTCTTAACTTGATTGCTCTAAAACTCGATGATCCTTGCTTGAGTAGAGAGGCTCTTTCTATAGGAAAGGAGAGAGATGAATCTTCGGCTGAGATTGAAAATGCTGCATAGACGATTGAGATGCAAGATGCTTTAGAGATAAGATGGCTTGAATTATTGCTGAACTATTGATGTATGCTTCTAGAGAGTCTTATCAACTTTTACTGTTAAGAATCTGCTTTCGGTGGATCTGCTTTTATCTGTATACTATTGAGAATCTGCTTTTCTTAGATGCTGAGGCTGCCTTTATCTGTACACTGTGGCGAATCTACTTTTTCTTAGATACTCTTAGAATTCTAGCATATTGGACAACTGTCGGTAGTGCTATCTGGTGGGCTGTCATATCTGCGGGCCACATATGCATCAGTGTTGTCTGGTGAACTGGTTAACTGGTTTCTTCATTTCTGTAAGCGAGTTTGAACTGTTCAAGTAACATCTTTTCCCTATTTATTATTTCTTCAACTTCTGGAGATATCTCAATTTTTGGGGGAGATCTGATGACATAGGGAATTCTGGCTTTAATGAAAATTTTCATGTTTATATTATGGTCATAGAGTCTAAAACCAAGATTGTAGCTTAAGTTAACCTGACGATAGGCTTTATAATAAACTAAATGGTTAAAGGTAGCTGATTCTATATCATTACAAAAGTTATTTACAAAATCGATATGTCGTATAAGAACTTGGACTTCTGTAAGATCAGAATGAATGTAGATTCGATCTTGTCCCAGAATTATAGCTCCATCTTTGACCCATTCTGGAGGAGGACTGTGGATTTGGAAGAGAATTGGACTTTCTGGCATGAAATTATGGGTTTGTTTTTGTACGAAAGCAATGGCTTGGTTTGATCGATTGGGAAAGTTACCTAAGGAGTTTAGATATTCTAATGACATGTCTTTTGGTATGGAAATGCTGCTGACCATTCCTAATTCTAAGAGCTTGCATAAGTAACAGGTGGTAGTTCTTGTAGAGAAACAGGTTTTTCTGGTTATTTCAAAAGGATAGGAGAAAACAATGTCTACTTCTAACAAGATGATGGTAGGTATGTAGTTGCTAGTTTGTATAAATCTTAAGAAAAAATAATGATATCTGGTTCCTTTAGGTGGACTGTTGTTTCTGAGGTAGTTTTGGATATCAATCCATTTCTTAAAACCACCAGACTTAGCTTATTCAAGGATAAGTTCTTTGATGTCATCAGGGAAGAGCTCAACTTGTTGTCTTAGGATTTCTCTGTACGTTGGAGAGAAAATGGGTAATAATTTGGCATACCTGGTTTGTACCTGCAGAAATTGAACTTTCTGAAGATTTTTATCTTCATTAGTCCTTTGCTCAGAAATGGTTAGTTCTGTGTGGTTTGTTGTCGTTTTTTGATAAGCTAAATTCAGCTTTTTAAAATGAGATATAATCGTCTCATGTTCTTGCTGTAGAGTATGATATGTTTTGTTGGATGCTACAAAATATTCACTTCAAGTATTTAAATTTCTAATGAGGGTTCTATCGGGATTATTTCTCGAAAACCAAATATTATCTAAAATAAGTTTTTGAATAGGAAAAAGATTATATCCAGCGCGGAACTGTTAAGCTATGTTTTGGATAATCAAAAGAGGATTAGAAGTGTCTGGTATAAAAGCTATATCTATTGTTACTCTTTGTTTCCATTCCTGCAAAGTTTAACAATCAGTTAATAAACAAGATAGAATATATGCTAAATAATTTTTTTTATTTTGACATGTTCAAATATAGGTTTAAAACGTCTTCCAGTAATACAGTCAATAAAGAAAATCTATCTTTTTGCAGACATTCGCTGTTGCTTTGCTTTGTTTGCAAATTTGACTATGTTATCACAATCTGTTCTTATAAGAAATTCTTTATTAAGGAATATCTGAAATTTTTCAATAGAGTTGGTTACTCCTAGAATTTCTAGATCTTTTGAGGGTAAAGTAGATTGTGCTTTGTTAAAAGTTCTACTAGCATGGCAACAAATTTGTTCTTCGTCTCGGGAAGATTCTTTTGTAGGCATTTGAAGAAGTAAACCTACCCATCTTTGAGTTGATGTATCTATTTGAATTATTTTATAACTATTTTCGAGTGGGAGTTGTAAGGGTTCTAATTGAGTGACTAAAGATTTAATTTTCTTAACTAATTCAATATCTTTATTATTAAAATATTTTTGACCATATTTTCCTAATTTTGAATACAATGGTCCTACTAATTGTCCTAATTTGGGAATAAAATTGCGACCGTAATTTAATAATCCTAAAAATGCTTGTAGTAACTTGGTTTCTTCTAATTTATCTGGAAAATCTAAAATCTTCTGAACAATATGTGGTTGTAATTCTACTTTTCCATCCTTTATGTATAAGCTTAAGAATTCAATGTCTTGTTTTTCTAGTATCATCTTTTTACTACTTATAATGAGGTCTTGTGTTATAAATTCGTTTAATATAATTTCAAGATGTTTTCTATTCTCTTCTTTAGTTTGGCTGGAAATTAGAATATCATCTATGTAAACACAACAAAATTTTGATTGTTTATTGAATATGGTATCCATTTTTCGTTGGAATTCCTGTGGTGCATTTTTTAATCCAACGGGCATAACAAACCATTCATAGTGTCCTTCAAGACATGTGAACGCGGTTTATTCAATGGATTCATCAGCCAAACAAATTTGCCAAAATCTTGATTTACAGTCAAATTTAGAAAACCATTTTCTTTCTTGTATTCAATTTATTAAAATATCTTTATTAGGAATTTTATAACTATCATCATACGTATTATCATTTAATCTTTTATAATTTATAACCATTCGAGTTTTTCCTCTTTTTAATTCAGCATGATTTCTAACCATAAAAGTTGGACTCCTATGTCTACTATTACTTTTTTCTTATTACTTTTAGCGATAAAAGTTCTTTGAATTGTTTTTGAAATTCTTTCTGATCATCTAGGGTATGAGGATTATCTTATATTTTTATAGTTATGAAAGGATTTATTATATTTAATTTGGCTTCGATTTTATTTTTATACCAGTGTTTCTGAGGATCTTCTCCAAAATCTCAGTAGTTTCAGCTAGTCATAAAAGATTGTCTATGTTTAATTTTGGGTTTTTTAATATAACTTTATTGTTAAGGAAAATATTTAGTTCATCTAAATGACTAAGAAACATTAACGCTTCAGAAACATCTTCTATAAATTCGGTTACATCAAATAAATTTTTTGTCTTTTCTTCTATGATAGATAATTTGGTCATAGCTAAAGTATTGACATAAGTAATAGATCATTTTTCTTTCTGAGGAATATAAGGAGGGTTAGATGGAATAAATGTTCCTTTTTTAAAGAA